TTTTTTTTTGTAGATATACTGATCTAGACATTACATCAAAAACTACAACATCAAAACTCAAGGATGCACTGCCTTCTGAACTACAGAAGACTAAACCTACCCATTACTTGTGGAAGCCTGTTGATATCTGGCTCCAATTATTTAAGATGTCTGGGATCTTCCAGGCCCAACTGTAAGGAAGCTGTATACCAAGTTCAAAGGTCGCTGTCGATGACATTTGGTTCCTGTCATAGGTTAAAATACATGAACAATGGCTTGTTCAAAATTGCCGGACCGATGGATAGGCATAAACTGTGCTGTTCTAGTTTTTCACTTCCAAGACCGTTTTCACAGGGAGCTCCAAACGGCACCTCTCCAAAGTCCACATCCACACCTCGGATCAAATTAAAAACTCGCCTGCTTGTGACTTTGATTTTCGGTGGCAGCATTTTAGCCACCTGGTACTTTGTGCGATCTGAGAAGGAAAAGAAAGAACAGCTGCGGAGAATTGAGCAGCTGAGGAAAGTGGCAATTGGGCAGGGAGACTTCGACCTGGTGGACCACCATGGGAGGCCCAGGACCAAGAAGGACTTCTTGGGTCAGTGGGTTCTCATGTACTTCGGTTTCACTCATTGTCCGGATATCTGCCCCGATGAGCTTGAGAAGATGTCCAGCGTGGTCAGTATTCTGGATGAACACCAGGAGCTCCCACGGGTGCAGCCCATATTTGTCACGGTGGACCCAGAGAGGGACGACATTAAGGCCATGGCAAGTTACGTGAAAGATTTCCACCCTCGTCTTCTTGGGCTGACAGGGACTCCCGAACAGGTGAAAGCAGCTGGGAAGGCTTACAGAGTGTACTATAGCATGGGCCCAAAGGATGATGACAATGACTACATAGTGGATCACACCATCATCATTTATCTTCTCAATCCAGATGGGCTGTTCCTGGATTATTACAACAGAAGCAAATCTGATAAGCAAATAGCAGAGAGTATCAAAAAGCACATGCAAACGTACGTGAAGTTATTCACTTAGAAACCGAATTCGCAATAATGCTCCGGGAGGGACCTTTGGAATAACACAACCCAGTCAAACCACGGAAAGAAAGGTTTCCAATAGGTTCTATGGGGGAGACAGTTTTGTGCAGTCAAAGTGACCAAACCACAATGCTCTATTCTTTTCAATAAGTGTAAATTGTACTGTTGGTTTTAGTGGGTCAATTTAGAGTTTTATCATCACTCCTGTTTATATATATATATGTTATTTGTGCATTGGTGTACTGTGCTTTTAGCCACTCAAAAGTGATTAGTAAATGTATCAATACAAATAATCTGTATTGTTGTGACATTCTTAAACTTTACATTTTGTAGCTCAACAGCATCCATCCATCCATTTTCTTAAACCACTTTATCCAGCAGAGGATCACCAACAGGCTCAAGGCAGGATACAGCCTGGGCAGGATGCCAGTCCTTCATAGGGCACACACAAACACAGACTTTTCAAGCTTTTATAAAGAATGTCACTCAAAGTTTCAATATATGAATAATATGTACAAACATCAACGTACTTTATATGATCATATAATATTTCCAAGTTCATCTTACAACTTGCTGTTAATATGAGATTTAAATGTATGCTTTCTGTTAGCACAACATTCATAAATAATTCCTAGTTCTTTTAAGAATTTTAACCATTGTATCTCTTCTAAAAAATATAGAACAGCTTATTTTGCATAAAACAGTGCAAATAAAAAATGAGTTTCTAACTCATACAAAAGAGATAGCACAAGAATTACTAAAGCTTTTCAATCTTATAAGAATCTCCAGAATGCACAGTAACCTATCCAAAAACTATTCCATTGTGAACAAAGATTCAAATCTAAATCCTTAACAATTCCTAATAATCGGGATATTATACTGGCCCAGATATAACATCTTACCAATAATTTTAGTTTAAAAGGTTTTCCCCACTTTATAGAAATGTAGACTTACATGTTGAAAGTAAACAGCTCTGAATTCAATGAGCAGTTCTTTTCTGATAGAATTTAAAACCTTAATATAAAATACAAATAAAACTTGTGTAAAGTGCAGATGTTGTTATGCTGGTAGTTTTTCTTAGCTTGTTCCGTGATTCACTGACTCATCTCTTACAAAGCGCTGATTCAAATTCAAAGAGCTTTATTGGTGTGACCGATGAATGACAAGTGTTTCCAAAGCAGGAAAAATGAATAAACACTTAAAGTAGTAGATATTATCTGAGAGGCTCAGTGTTTTTTGGAAAACCAATATCTCGGGTGTTGTCCAGATTGACTTGCAAAGCCCAGGGCTGACATTACCACTTCTGAAGTGCCAGGCTCTTCAGCACCACCTGAGCCAGGTCATCAGCATTAAGCAGAAACTTGGTCTCAGTGTCATGGAGGCCAGAAGCTACAGTAACTGTACCACCACCTCTGCTAAGCCATTGATACAGGAATTGAACAGCTACGCTCAGACTGCAGAATTCCCACCCCCACACCCCTGAGTGATGTATGCGTGTGACACTTTCTGTATTCCATTTTACTTTGCATAACCCTCAAATTTTGAGTATCTGTAGTCAGAAAGCATCCAATGATGATGATGATGAATATTATTAAATTCTTTACACTTAGAAAGTGCTTTTCTGGACACTCATCTCAAAGCACTTTACAGATAATGGGGACTCCCCTCCACCACCACCAATGTGCATCCCCCACCTGAATGATGCAAGGGCAGCCATAGTGCACCAGTACATTCACCACACATCAGCTATCAGTGGGGAGGAGAACAATGATGAAGCCAGTTCATAAATGGGGATTATTAGGAGGCCAATGTGATGCATGCTTTTCACAAGAGGAGGAAAGACGGCAACCATGTGGTCTGATTTAATTCTTTCCCTGCCTCCTTTACAAGTATAATTTCTCATGTTTTCTTTGTATATTAATGTACATTATTGCATTATTGGGCTTTGCTAGTTGTGGATATCTCTTGTGGAACTCTTAGAGTTGGCAAGGGATTATTGTACTTTGAGGGCTGGTTTTTGAGATACATTTAATATTGTTATCCTTAATAACAATTCTCTAAACATAATCATTTGAAACGGTGTTCAAAGACAGTTGGTTCAAGTCAATATAACAATTTTATTTTTACCCAGTGCTGAAAATGATACTTTTGGAAAGTTGTAATCCCATTGTTAAGTATTTTTTTACAAGAATATCTGGCTCCTACATGAATACATTACATTTTATATACTGTATATAAAAGATAGAAGGGCAGAGAAAGGGTACTGCAAAACACTGTGTACTTGATAGATTTGCTTAGTTCCTAACTTACATGAAACCAAATTATACAAACAACGCATCAACATTTTTTACAGCATTAGAACTGATGTCCAAAATCTAACAAACTAACATGAGACAGGATTTCAAATGCTGAAAGAAATTCAGTTGTAACTAATGATGCTTATATTTCTAAAAGCAGCTATAACAACTTGATAACAGTCAAAATAACTTCAACCTTTTTCTATTGCATGCTTTCAATTGCATACCATGCCGAAAAATTTATCAGTTTAGATAAATGTTCATTGTGGGAGTAAAATCAATGATTAAATGTTGCTTTTGCTGTAGCTTTATTTTATATCAAGTCATTTCATTTTACAGACAACTAAAAAAAAGTCAAATTCAGGTGAGCAAAAAGTTTTAGGAAAAGTAGAAATAAAAACCTAGGCTCATGAGAGGTTCACCCAGTACAGCCCCATAGTCCAGATGTCACTGCTTGGTGTCTGGGTTATGTCCTTAGCTGGATGTTGCCAGGATCCCCAATGGCTATGCGCAGTTGACCAAGAGTCACCAGGGCCTGGTCAGGACTTCCTCAGCCTGCTGCACGGCAGTACCTCCTAGGTGTTGACGTGTGCCTACAAGTTTGCAGCATTGTCAGCGATAGTGGATCCCTCTTCCCATGACACCTGCATGACACTGTGCAGCTGCATTTGCCATGATGAACAGTCCCAATATGTGTCCACGTTGAAGAAGTGTACTTAAAGGGCCTGGTTTCCCCCCCCCCATGGCATACCAGGATTGGAGAAATAATATTAGGCTGATTAAGTTGGATTCCAAATTGGGAGGCACTAAAATACACAACTGGTGATTCCAAACCTATGAAAATTAGGAAAACCTGAGTTTTTTTTGCTCACAGTCTTGAAAATAAAGTTTCGAAATCATTATGTCGTCTCTGAAATGGAAGGAGCGGTGTATGTTTTAAATCTTTCATGGGCTTGCCGTTTGCTAAGCAGTGTAAGCGCCATTGAATCAAGAGATTCTTCCAGTCCTGTTTTTTCATGTATCTCCACAGTGTAGTCATTGGCCTACAAGGAAAAAAATAATGCATTAGGTATAAAGATAGTAGGTGTAGAATACTAGCATTTATTGTACTTTAAAACACAAAAAATGTTATTAGTTCCTACTATATACTCATTTTTTTTAAATGAATGCCTCTTGGTACTGTGTATGATTTATCACAACATACATTTGAAATAATGCTAAAAATAAGTTATATCCTAAACAAGGTAATATGAAATGTATGCTTTAGCTCGTGCACAGAAAGTTAATTTTTAGCTTCTCCACGTTTGTAAACAGCTATATTATAGTTTTAAAATAATACATTAACATCAGTTTGGAAAAGCAGCAACATGACTCCTCATAGGCTGAAATGTGTTAGTACTTACAAGCTGCAGAGATGCCAACATGTACCGGCACACCTCGTATTCCTCTTTCCCTTTCACAATTGAAGCAAATGTGCGCCTCTCTCCAACACTGTCAAAGGCACTTATGATCTTTCCCCCATAGTCATGGATGTCAAATGCTAACCTTTCTTCCTATATAGGAAAGAAAATTGAAAGGCACTCATACCTATCTTTAGATTGCATTTTTAATTAATACCATATGAAACAATTTAATACATATTTATTTGATACTAGATGTGAAAGACCTGTGAATTTAAAACCCATCAGTACAGATTAACAGCAATCCTGTTTTCTGCAATTTTCAATAAAGAACAATTAGAGATAAGCTCTTAAACTATAGTAAGAATGAGGGTTGGTATTTCTTTTCCCTTTCTTTGTTCCTGTTCTTTGTTAAGATGTATGGTTTAAAATTAAACCATTTGAGATGTCATTTAAAAAATTACTGTAAATATTTAGGGGTTTACTTGCTATTAATATTTAAATGAAACAGTTCACAATAACATTTGCAAAATTCAATCAAAATTCAGAACAATGAAAAACTACCTGTGCTGTTAGGTGGGGACCCATTTTGTTTTCCCATTCTTTTATCTTTAGAGACAAAGCTGTCTCTTGAGCATACTTCTGTGACTCAGCAATAAATAGTTCCTGCAAAAGACAAATGAATATTATGTGAAACTGATGAGAAACACTCATTTTGGTGTTCTGAAATATTTGGATATTTCAGTGACATACATACCACATGTTTTAGGATCAGATCTTCATAAGATGACCCTTCTCTTTCAGGTGCTGAAAGAAATTAATTATACATTTGAATACAGTTTGTCTTCGCTTTATTCATTTCATTTTCAAAAATACTAATGTAATGTTTAATCAGATTACAAGACAAAAAAACATGAGTTCATTTTCTGATAAGAATCTGATATTTTTCATATTAAGCCGACAATTTACAGTCCATTATGAACTGTCTTCAGTGTCACTTCATGTATAATAATGTAACGCTCTGGGGTTCACGTGGGTATGTGCCCTCGCCTCTGCCGCCTTGGGTCGGCCCCCTACCGTCGGGGACTCGAACCCAGGCCTCTGGCGTCACTCAACAGGGACCCAGCCACTTGAGCCAAAGGGAAATCTCCTGTCAACCCAACGGCTGCGGTCCCTGCTATACACAGGGAAGGGCAGTGACGACACCGCGCTGGTAAGCCGGCTCTCACAACAAATGGTGGCCGTATGCGTTACACTAACTTGTCTCTAAATTAAATTTAGGACTTTAAGTGGAATGCCAACAACACTTTAAATAAGAACATGCAGCTTACAGTACTTCATGGGCTCCTGGAAACAGAACCACTGCTTTGCTGATTGACAAGACAGGGGAGCTTAACATAGGCTCGACATAATGGACTGTATATTGTTGTTTATAATATACACATTTTGTTAAATCCTTGCAGATTTGACTGCAAGGATAAATCAACTGATGCATCCTCCAAACCAAATTTTCTTTCCATGTATATTCAGCTGGGGCTTTGGGAGTGACACTGGGTTTCAGTGTCACTTGGGAGTGACAATGGGTATTTATTGTGATCTCTCAAGATAATTTAATACCTCACCCAATTTACGTTGCTTAAACAAAGGGGGATGAATACTTATCAATTACGTAATTTTCAGATTTTCATTTTTAACATAATTCTGAAGACATCTAAATACTTTATTTCATTTTAACATAATAGAGAATTACTTCTACAGGTGTGGAAAAAAATCCCATTTAAATATGCTTTAATTTGACTTGGCAACACAGCAGAACGAGAAATAATCAATGGGAGGTGAATACTTTCTGAAGGCACTGTATATTGATATTATAGCACATATTCTGTAATATACATTATTCTCACTGAAACATTACGTATGGCCTTTGATTCATATCAGGACTTTGTCATCAATACATTCATTAATTAATTAAATACAATATGTATAATTATATTTTAATTATATGTATTTAATTACATAGGCAGAATCAGTGTATTTATATATATTATTTTGCGCCCAGTGAATTTGCAAGCTTTGAAATACAGCACACCTATCCGTAACCATTTAAATATGAAAATTACAAAATTCAGCTTTTACTTGACTTCAAAACCCTTTGAAAGACAAAGGCATAACCTTTAGCAGTACTGAATAACTACAAGATGACTGGAATAAAAGTTTTGAATTAATGCCTAAAAGTTCATTTTAGTTTTCTACCATTATCACTCTTATATAAGCTCTTTTAATGTTAAAGGTATAAGGACTTTTTGTTGATCAAGACAGATAGGAGGAGGACACAGATAGGAAACATTACATTCTGTTGAAATGCAATAAAACTTGCACCTGTTGCAACCACCTCCAGGTCTTCCGCTCTCTGTGCAGGACAGTCTTCGGCAAAGTCCTCGTGATCCGAAAAATCACCTAAAATGACAAATCTCCAGTTCAAAATCCAGAAGGATGTAGTAGGTTTATTAGGTAAACGTGAAGAAACGTTAAGAAACTGAAGAAAGTTCAGTTTCATCATAATGAAAACAGTTCAGAAATGCATCACAAACATTTTCCTTTGATATTATACAATGCTTAAGAATAAACCTATGAGTACATAAACTCTGAAAGATTATGAAAGGCACACAGCTGAGAAAATTGTTCTTGTGCACTTTTACTCAATGCTCGCTAAGAAATTGAGAAAAAACATGTAAGTCTGCATATATCACTTTTGAATTTGTGAACATCTAAGACATGGGGGTTTGCCAATTCATACTGTATGAATAAACATACTGTATCATGCCATGACTGGTAATGCAGAAAAAGAAAGCTCAGTATGATTATCTAGAATCTAACCATCATCAAAATGACTACTAACTGCTAAGAAACACCAGTGGTCAACAGTGATCAGATCAATGACCTGTAAAGACTTAAAGGGCTATCACCTTTGAAGGGACTGCTTTCTAACAGCAATCAAAACCGCTACCACAACTGCAAGTATAGGAAACTCACAAACCTAATCACAGTCATAAACCACCAATATATTACAAGGATTTCAATTAACTGTTTAAGTGTGGGGGTGGATGCACATCATCACAAATAAAGTGTGGTTTCTTGCGATGAACAGTTTCTTGTCTGTTTTGGTAATTTTAAAGCATATATATGTATGCAGATATTTAACAAAGAGGACTCTAAAGTATTTGCCTCCAAGAACCTTAATCACTCTCTTATTAAAATCACTTTTAGTATGACAATGTCAGGATACACTATAGAATTTAACACACTTTTCTGTAGTGCAGAATTGTATTTTATATTACTTGTAGAAGCAGAAGTCTGTGCCCCTATAAATGTTTATTTTCTTGTTGTTATGCTTCCAAGAAGCAAACAACTATAGTTGCTTGTGTTTGAATCCTGGGCAGCCTAGCAGCTTCATAATGAGGAGCTATACTGGTGGAGACAATCCATAAAATTTGCAATGCATGTTACAGCTCCTGGGTCCACAATATGGCAGCCTAGACTGCATAATCAAAAACAGTTCAAACACTTCAGCAATGTGTTTCTACAAAGTAATGATTGATATGTTCTATTTGCCTCATTTGAATACAATTTTGTTCTAGCATTATTACGACTACTCATCTGTTTGGCTGGTACTTTTATCCAAAGTTATTTACATTTGCACCTTTTTATGGATATACTGTAGGTATTTTACTGCAGCAACCTGAGCAAAAGACCCTGCTCCAGTGTACAACATCAGTGCCCAGCCAGCCACAAACTTCCAGAACAAGCCTGGTCACTTCCCCTCGCTTTTCTTTATGGTCACAAAAATAAGCAGGCAGTGTGCTTGTCTTCATTATCTAATTGACATCTAATATCTAATCTAACTGGTAACCATTTATAAGAATTTTCGTTCAAAAAGTATTTGCACAAAAGGGTCTTTTACAGTCACACTCAACAAAATGTCTCCTAAGGCATATGGGTATTACCTTCGTTTAAGCCATCATACAGAAAAAAGTTTTTATATCAATAAGATTTACTAACATGCATTTTATTTTCCACATCCTGCAATCTCACAGAAACAAATAATACAAAGAATAAGGAAACCTTAAGGATTAACCGTTAACCTTTGCCTCTTATCAATATCAGATGTCAATAGGCATTGTGAAGTAAGACAAAAATGAACAGAGAATTCAGGGCTCATGTTGGTGAGAATGACTTACAGTATTTGCCAAGCAAAGGCTGAGTAGCCAAATGTGGGAAATACGCCAAGTACCACTTACCCCCTTCATCATTGTCTAGGTAATCGTCATGTCGAACTTCTTCAGCTTCATTTTGCTCTTCTGCATTAACCAGTTCTTTGTTTTGCAGCTCATTACATTTTTCAAAATATATAGTTCCCTGAAAGAAAAATACTTTTACAACTTTGAAACCCACTGTAAAACAAAAAATAATTTAAAAATTAAATTAAAGCTCTGAATTGGAAAATTCATGACAAATGCATACATCACAGATTCTGACACATAAGGCTACAATTTTAATACCTTCATAATGCAAGTATAATGTATCAGCTTACTGTTTTCCTCTTTAACATTTTTTGTGCTGCTAGCTTTTCTTTCACTTGCTTGCAGTGCAACTCCTCCAAGTCTGTAAAACAAACAATTTAACTGATAATTGTGAAATAATTTATCTTGAACTGTTAACATATTCATTTTTTAATCCGATATTTTAAGACTCTTCTGATCACAAGCATTTGAGAAAACAAAATACTGAAATTATGTTGTACAAAAAAAATGCTCACAAAACATGCAATGTTGTAAAGAAAAAAAACCATTACCTGCAAATGTAGGTCCCTTCTTAATCTTCCGGCCAGAGGATTCAGAAGCTAAAATTACATTACAAATTACTAAATGAATTCAATTCCATGATCAAAATGCTTTAAAATATTCAGATTTACCATAAGACGCATTAAGATTAAAAAAGGAATAGTACATCTCTTTCAAAAAGGTACAGCTCTATTGTAAAAAGCCACACATTAAAGACTAATACCTGTACATTTTGTACCTTTTTAAGTACAACTCTTCCTAACAAAAAAAACAAACATCTTCCACAGATATATTAAGTATTAGATAAAAGATAGTCTACTCACACACTCCAGAGAACCACTTCAGGAAATCCAATAGCTTATTAGGAACTTTTCTTTTTCTCTTATTTCCTTCTACTTCCTGAACACGCTGAGGGATTATATAATATCTGCCTGGTGAAAGCAAGAATTAAATATCAAAGTTAATGGGATTTATAGACTGTATTGAAACATATATTGTCTTTTACCTATACTCATCTGCAGTTCACATATACGACACCTCTCATAACACTTATGAGCTTTTTACTTAACGTGGATCATACATACATAACTAGGTTAGTTTTTATCACAAAGCAAAAGATCTTGTCATGTTCAAACAAGTACTGTGCATCAAAAGCAACATATCTCTATTTAAGCACATACTGTATGATTTTAGTTAAAGTATATGGATTTTGGATACTTAAAGCTTTGGTATTATTCCAATTATTCATTCATGATTGACCGTCATAGAATTGAGTGATTTTGACTACTGGATTAATGCCTAATCATCTCAAAAGTGAGAACAATGCCTGGGCACAAGTGATGAGGTGCTTTAACTTGCTGAATGTCGATCCTGCTGAAAATCAACACAGAAAAACAGTCAAAACAGCAAGAGTGAAATGTTTTTGTTAGGTAGTACATGGGAGCATTGACAACCTGTACAGCTTGTATTGTCTCAAACAGTAGCCACACTTGCAACTAGCTTGTGCCTCTCACCATAGGCTTCTTGTGGATGATAAATATAAGCAACACCGACCTTTCTTTAAGGGCTTGTCTTCAGAGGCTTTGAAAGGATCAAGACTTTTCCACGGGTCCAGAATTTCCTAAAAATTGTATTGGAGATTGGAGATTGTATTTTTTACTGTATGTTACTATAGATAGTAGAAAAAAGCAAAAATGTCAAAACCATCCCCACGCCTTTGCAGTCATAAATGTGACTAATAATTTGATGCATATTACCAGTACTTTATCCTTCTCGTTTTCAGATGGCACAGGAGGACGTTCCCTTAGCATGCGTCTATCACCAGAGATCTTGAAGAACACAGAAAGAATAGCAATTTGAATACAATATATCTTCTATACGAACATGACTGGTTGCCAGGCATACTTGGCAACCTTAATAACAGCCATGCTTTTCATCACTGGGAAGAAATAGAGGAAAGAAGAATTGTACCTGATGTCGCTCAATGTGTATGTCATGCACTGGTCCAACTTCCACATCCATCTCATTGTCATCTCCTTGTGGATCAAAAGCTTGCCCTGCATCTTCATAGTGGTTTTAATCAGCATCGGAAGAAAATAAAAAAAGGGAAATTGAATTATTGATATATAGGTAGACATGATACCATGACAGAAAATTAAATGTCTGGTCATATTTTAAGCAACAGGACATTTTCTAGTAAGTAAAATAAAAAGTCAGAAAAATAAATTGATATTTAGCATAAGAAATCATCTCACCCTGATGTCAACAGTTTTAGCCAGTTTTTAGTAGTATTAGTAGTATTTGTTTTGTCCATCATCCATAACTAGTGAGCAGAACTCAAAATCAAAATCACCAATATCCTGGACGATTGTGTTAATTCAATTTGCCATTGTCCAGCCTGATAAGAGTTTCTGGAGCCAGAAAAGCTTCTGAAGCAATGACACATTCTTTTATAAATGTTTCTTGTGATCGAGCTCAAAGTTTTATGAGGCGTGCTGTCCAGTTCCTTTCATGGTATCATCAAAACTGTCCATTGCACATCTGCACATAAATTCTTTTTTTAGTGCCTAAATTCTGACTGTTCCTTTTAATTCTCCAGATTTAATTTACTTTGTAGTGTATGTCTGTGATGGTTTTTCACCAAAAAAAATGCTTCTCTACAAATCAGGCAAAAGAGCTTGTTCCATCTCTACAAAAAAAAATAATTTGCCAATTTGTCATCTAAAACATATACAGTACATTTGCATCTACTTCTCCTAGCAGTGTCCTTTAAAAATAAATTGTGTTAACTTATGTTCACGCTAGCTACAACATCAGAGTCCAGTAACTGAAAATTAACATTTACCAAACACAACCAATACACAGTACCATCAGTATAAAGTAATGTATCACAGCCACGATGTTAAAAAATGACACAAATGTTCAAGTCATTACACATCCACCTTATGAACCTTACCTTCTCCAGAGATATTCAGAGCTGGTTCTAAAGCCTCATGGTCACTCACTTCTTGTAGAACCATCCTGTTGACATCCATGGCATCTTCATGTACTACTAGAATCAGAGAGCTGGATTACTGTTATTATATCAATAGGGGCAACAGCAATGTTGATCCATTTCTTGTCTTATCACTGGTTACTGGATTTTATTCGCATACAGTAAAAAAGGACATTGCTGTGGACACGTTTCATAACATAGTTTCTCTTCCAAACTGCTCTTAAAAAGTCAAGCTTTAAAAATAAAAGACTGACCACAATCAAGACTAATATAAGCAAAAACGAATGCAATGTGTTTCAAAAACTCCATGACCTATGACAGAGAGGATGCTGATTCATAATCAAAATTAAAAGCAACAATGCTTGGGCAAAGTATGTAGTCAGATCAAAGATTCAAATGTTTCCTGAATTGCACAGCCCACTCATGTTAGACCCTCTAGACAAAATAGCCCATTGATATAGGGTATCCGTATTGATATAGGGTATTTGTATGATCTACATAATGTATGGATGCATCCATGAAGCAAGTTCAATACAAACAATAAGCCCTTTTACATTTTAAAGACTTCCATAGGTTCTAGAGAGTAATTTTACCTGAATTATCTTTGTGGTTTATCTGTAAATTCCATAAAGACTGGGAAGTATCTCCAGCAGCAACCAGCAGGAAGGTCCCATTTCCATGGGGAGTGGAATTATGCATACGAAAATCACTGTAGCTCGCTAGAATCTCACATTTGTTGCTACAAAACATTAATTAAATGTTATTTAAAGACAATGGTTATTTTTAAAACAATCAAATATTTTTTTTAAATGTACTGTATATGAAATGTAACCACATCAGAATTTAAATGGCAAAAAAGACTACATTTCTAAAGCAGACATAAACTCTACAACAACAAAGATGTAAAACAACGGAGTAATTTGCAGAGAATAAAATAAAAGTTCTGCATTTTCTTTAGCATCCTTTATCTCATTTCATGATTTCCAGTTATGTACTGTAGCTTACGCATGGAGCTTTGCCAGAGATGATGCTTATTAAAAGCTGGGCCCAAATATGAAAATTCACATATGTTCAATCCTGGATTGGGATTTTGGTACATTTACCTTCAATATATAAACCAGTTTACATTTCTGCTATTGAATAACTTCCACATTAAAATATTTGCAGTCTTCTAATTCAATTGCTATTTTCTTTCTTCCTGGCAAATGGCAGACTGAATGTGTTAATTCTTGTATGTGTTAAGAGCCTTTCTGTTCATCTATATCCTGCACTATACTGTAGCTTCGTTTCTAAGCACTTTATTTGAAATGATACGGTTCTTCAAAGTGAGTTAACGTTTGTATCATTACCATGAATTTGATGCCATGAATCATTAAGACAATAACAGAACACTCAGAGCTCAATTATCCCTTTGGGTGCAATTCAGATGAAAATAGTATTCTAAAGTTGATAACCTGCTCAACTTTTTGAAAAACGATTAGTCTCTACCTGAGGAGATTTATTTTATTTTCTTCGTCTGGTGGACTCAAAGCCAGGGGAGTTAGAGGAGCTATTGTCAATGTCTGAAAATTTGAAATTAAAAAGTAAGTACATGGCAGTAGTGATATACAAAGCTAACAACACAGTTATTTGTTTTAAAGCTTCAATGATCTTTACAGTGACTTGAAATATTTTCTGCTATTTTAGACCACAGTTAATACAATTTTCATGTTCAATACAGTAGGGTCTCAACAAATAATTCTAATGAATACAATAAAAAATAGAGAACTAAACTGACATCAAGCAAAAAGAAAACCAATGAAAGCACATGTACAACTTTCATTTATTGTGTTATTTATTTTTTAAGTGAACAGCTATATTTAGTGTGTTTCGTCTTTCTATAAAGGTAATGATCCACTTTTCCTAAAAACATTTAAATGCTATTTAAATATGCTCAGCACATCCTAGTTCCTGGAACAAAGGAAGAACAGCTGACAATCAAAGACTTACAACTTACTTTGGAACCAATTTCTTTTCTGAGCTCACAATTTGTCTTGCTGTTGTCGCCAATGTCATCCAAAGAGAGAAGCTAAGAGGGAAGAATGAGACACTAAGTTTACCGTTGGGACTATAATACATCATTTGTAATTATGAAATGCCGTAATATGTATGAACTACAGGTACTCTGGCAAGGCAGTCAGTTACTCTAATGCATGAAAGAGATCACTGAATTAGAAAACAGGTGAGAGAATTAGGCCATAGGATTCAATTTGATTCCTTCCAAATTTCTAATTTTGCAGCTCCTGAAACCTACAACGGTTATCAACAGATGCTGCTGCCTGTAATGTATATCATTTAGTGATGTTGGAAATATAACCTAAAACATCAGTGTTTTAAAACAAAATCAGAGAAAATGTGTGGTTTTTTTTAACAGATGTTCCAGAAGGATGACGACAACCATGTTGTCCTTTGCCTCTTTAACTTGTAATCCTCCATGACAATCCTTTCTGAAAAACTGTAAATTCCATAATAAACTCCTATCTCTTAATTGTATTTGTCATTTTGCATTCCTCCTCCACTCTGTCACTTTTACAGCTTGCCTAATGACTCATTCTGCATGGGGGTCTTAAATAACTCATCATTCTGCTGGACGGTTGACACTCAACCAAGCAGGTTAAGCCATAGCATCATACGTCCAGCACATCAATATAAACATATATTTGGAAGATGCATTTATCCACAGGGACTTACATTTTCATCCACTTATACAGCTGGGTATTTTGCACGACCAATGCTGTACATTTTTCAAGGGTACAGCAGCAGTGTCTCAACTGGGATTTGAACCTACAACCTTTCAATAACAAGTTCAGAACCTTAGCCATGACTATACGCTGCTGTACTCAATACTCTAAAACAATGATTCGTGAACAAGTTCAAGTTTATTTATTTCAGCCATACGTAAGTATATAGAGGAGCGAGATATCGTTTTCCAGGTCTACGGTGCAAACACAGACAAGACAATGCTATAGACAACAACCTACTGAAAAGTAGAGGTATATGACCTCTCAAACATGTCAAAATAAGTCAGTAACTTTGCATGTAAGTGTGGACATTCCCATTGTTATAAACACATCAAAAATCCTTCTTAGATATTCCATCCACTCCTTCTCCTTTGATGATTAATGAACTTTTGTCACAGAAAGCGGCATTTATAAATTAATAATCTGCTCAGAAATTACCTCCTCATCATCATTTCTGTATGCAAAAGTGGCATCATTATCTACACCATCCCGTCCAACAGATGGTGCTTGTTTGTCTCGCCTGGGATGAAAGAGAAACAAGATATATGATTTGCCTTAACACTGACATTTAAAAAGATCAACACAGTACTTCAAACAGAGGATACTTCATTAACCTACAATACTTGCCACTGTACTAATAATATAGCTACCTGGAAAAATATTTAACTTATATCCAAGGGGCAAAACAAAACATTCTAATTGTAAAGACGTATTTAAGAGCACTTTATTAGCCATATACAATTTCTTGCATTAGGAATTTGATTTTTCACATACCCCAAGCTTCTCTCTGTCTCTGTGTCTGTGTGTCTCATGGAGAGCAAGTTGGGGTATGTGAAAAATCAAATTCAGAGCACAGGGTCAGCCATTGTACAGTGCCCCTGGAGCACTTGGGGTTAAGGGCTTTGCTCATGAACCCAACGGAGTAGGATTCCTCTGCCGGCTACAGGATTTGAACCGGCAACCTTCTAGCCACAGGCACAGATCCTTAGCTACAGGGCCACCTCTCTGCCCCAGGTCAAATATAATACATAATGATATGAAAAGAGATTGCAAATTACTGATCTAAAAAAAAACTTTGATTCAGAAGATTTATTACTTTTTATTTGAAATGAAGTCCAGGGCTCGATACACCAGAGAGTAAAGGTATTCCACCTAAAAACAAGCATAATTAAGAAATAAAGTTTCATTTACTGTACATTTTTTTGTAAAATAGTACTTTTTTCATTAAGAGATAAGAAATATGCAGAATTGACTGTCCACATTAAAAACAAAGAACATAAAATAGACGCTTAGCATTAATTGCAACAGTTATGCTTAACTACTCAAATTTACACTCACCTTTTTACTGTATACACATGCCGACCCCTGAATAAGCAAAGCTGCCTCTGCAAAATTCATTGTTGTTGCACCATCATCAAAAGAAATTGGGATCTGATCCAACTATATAACAGAAAAAAACAACATTATCTACAGCACGTCTCTTACGTAACATTCAACTTTTTCACCCTTAGCTATGTATCGGTTAGGATTAATTGAATCTCTATAACATGAGAACCTTTTCAAATAACCGCAAAGTGTAAAAGCATAAGTTAACTGGATTTATGCAAATACAAATGGAACATAAAACTGTTTACATAAAAGAGGAGGACAGTGCATCTGGTGTTTAGGAGCTAACTGTTCCCAGGATTCCATTCAGGTGTTTCTTGAAAAGGGGTATCAGCCTCAGCAACATGGCTGTGGAGCACCATCATCTTGTGTAAAGAATTGCCTGCTGTTCTTGGTTTTCAATGCACTCTCCCTTAGTTTCCACTTGTGTCCTCTGGCTCACGATCCAGTGCTGATTCTGAGGAAGTCCACTGAGATGACTTTGTCAATGTCTTTGTAACCTTGTATCCCTCTCTGTTCAGAGAAGGTTCACTTCCTTAGGCCTGTCAGTGCAGGACATTCCTTTGAGGCCAGGAAGATATCGGGTTGCTCTTCTCTTGACCGACTCTAAAGCAGTTTTGTTGTACCGTGGTGATCAAAATTGAGAACAATACACAAAATGAGGTTTTACTGGCCTCAAATGCAATTTCTCCTGCATTCTCCACAATTACATTTTCTTTTAATAGTGTCTAGAAAATAAATAAATTGGGCCTCACTGTGTAACCACAATAACTCTTTTGGAAAAAATGACCTTAAACATAAAAAAGCACGATTAGGTGGACAACATAAGGACACTCAAGTTAAAGTTTCCAGATTAACGTTGCTTTAGTTAAAAAAATAAGTGGATAGTCCGCTCTCCTGTATAAAAATTAAATTTAAATACACCCTGTAATGTAAAATCAGTGTTGACATTTTTTTCTTGCAATACAGAATATAATTTCTTCCCATTTTTGCATTTAAAGCAAAGATCTATGTAAACTTGACAGAATATTACAAATTCTTGGACATTCTGTGTGTTATTTTACACCTCAAAAAAAGGATCTATGTATCAGTATCCAAAGACTGGAAACAAACATTTACAATCAGTTTTGGTTTTCATCTATTTTCACCTCATCCAGATATTCCTCCAACTCAGCAGCCACATTGACTTCCCAGTTCTTGCTCAGGTCTCTGATGGGCTGGAGGAGATGGTTGAACCGTGATTTTGCAGAATCGTTTATCATCTTTTTTCCCCGTCCTGGGAAACAACAACAGTCTCAATATCAGCTAGACGTCTGTCTGACATAAAATGTACTTGCCGTCAGAAAAGCATTTTACTAATACACTGTTGTTTTATTATTGTTCAAAATAGTCTATTTGACCGCTAATGCGCGGTTAATTAATTGTAATCAATTCAAAATCGATTCGAAATTCGCCTGAACTTTGAGGGCACAGCAGTTTAAATGTATTTTGTATTGGGGAACATTTTTTTATATATTCTAATCGCTCTACAGCACAAGAACATTCATTTGTTAAATATATCAGATGCTATATTAATACACCTGATTTGATCAACCCAGCGATTTTTTATCAGCTTACAACATAACAGACCTACAACTAATTCCTTTCTTATGAAACAAGTAAAAGGTTAATCAAGCTGACAGTTACATTATATTACTACGTTTTACCCCATTAAAACAATCACCTTTTGCCGAAGGGATAAAAAACACAACTGAAAATAATTTTCGTAATACCCATTAACAACTGAATGTAAAGATAACCACTCCGGCACTAGCCCTCCATAAAGTACCAAATCTGCGCTTCCGTTTATTTAAAAAGTGAAGCAAGTTTAACACTTACCTTTTCAAAGAATACTTTGAAATAAAATAAGATTTGAGCGCAAATATTTTAAATGTAATAATATTCTAAAACCCCTTTCCTGATTGATCAGATTATTATGATTTATTAATTTTCCTCTGTGTGATTCAAAACAACCGCGCACCAGCCATTTTTGTTTTTCCCGCTTACGCGCCTTACGTAAGACGTCATAAGTACAGCACGCACAGCAAGGAAGGCGGGGGTGATGTTTGAATTAGGGACGCATGAATTCGTTATGGACTTAGAAAGCAGGGACATTGAAGTCTGTTTTACCGGTAGGAAATAAGAAAACAAGAAAGAGTGTTTCCTAGAAGAAAGATGTCCTACTGCATTAATGGGAGGAACCAAAGAAGGGCCAATTGCACCTCCAAATAGTTGAGATAGCAAATCGAAAGTTTCACAGTACTTAGATTTGCATAGTGTTTTGGGTAGAGTCGTCTCCATTACAAAAACAAACATGATATTTTTTTCTCATTCCCACTTGGCAGTAGCGGGTATTTAGTTAGAAATTCAACACAATGCAGTAAATATAAGATGTTATAAAGAGAGATCTCGTGTTTCGAAAACGATAGTGAGTGAGAAATGTTGCATACCCAAGAAATTGTTTTGCCTAAACTGCCAGAACTCATATGTGAGAATGCTGTTTGTGGAGTACAGTTCAGCATTCAATTCCATCATACCCAGTCAACTGGTGACAAAGCTCAGGGGATTAGGACTGTGCAACTCTGTCTGCAACTGGCTGCTGGACTTTCTTATGGAGAGACCACAGGTGGTGCAGGTAGGTAATAAAACATCAACACCACTCACCCTGAGCACTGGCACCCCACAGGGCTGCTCTCTGAGTCCAAGGTTGTACTCCCTATTCACTCATGACTGCACAGCAAGACACAGAAAAAAACGCATCATTAAGTTTGCAGATGACACCACTATAATAGTCCTGATCAGCGATGATGACGAGTCCACTTACAGGGATGAAGTCGTACAGCTGCTGAGGTGGTGCCATAGCAATAACCTGGACTTGAACGTGAGTAAAACAAAAGAGCTAATAGTGGACTTTCGGAGACACAGGCCGCACACTCACAGCCCACTCAGTATTGATGGAACAGAGTGGAAACAGTCATCAGCTTTAAGTTTTGGGAATTCACATTTCTAATGATCTAACCTGGTCTGTGAACACGCACTCTATCTTGAAGAAGGGTCAGCGGCACCTTTATTTCCTGAGGTGCCTCAAGTGATGGGGGATGCCCATACCTGTGTTGGTGAACTTCTAAGACTGCACAATCGGGAGTATCCTCACCAATGGGATCACCGTGTGGTAAGGCAAGACCTCTTCTCGAGAGAGAAAGGCACTGCAGAGAACAGTGGATGTGGCCTAGAAGATCATCGTCCATTGTCTCACAGAGATTAAACAGCTCTACGACGATCGCTGCTATGGTAGAATTCAGGCCTACCATAGCTACCATAGCCATACCATACCACAGAGGACAGTCACCACCCCGGGCATGAGCTCTTCACCCCACTGCCCTCAGGCAAGAGATACAAGAGCATACGGACACTTACCACTAGATTCTTCAATAGCTTCTACCCACAAGCAGTGTGATTGGTAAACACATTTGACCATGCCCCTTGGACCACACCTACCCCATCTACTGTAACTCACTGTAATTTTAATCTGCAGTTATTGTTTGCATGTCTGCATTGTTTACATTAGAGCTTGTACATTGTCTGTTTGCGTGTATATTGTCTTGATGCACAAAGTCTGCACTTTGTGTTTTACACTTTTTTAACAATCGAAAGACTTTCTGTAAGTAAGAATTCCATTGTACCAGTACATGTACCAGTTACATATGGCAATAAAGTTCGAGTTGAAGTACACGTGGGTTTAATTGGTTTTGTGGGTTCTATTGCCCACAGACATCACTGGGTACAGATTTATAATTTACAGATTTTCAGTCTCCTAGTGGGTTTGACAATACCCTCATGCAAATAATCGTTTTATTTATAGCATCACAGTCCAACTGTAGAGCATATGGTCAGTACACTATAGTTTGTAAAATCTAAATCAAATTTAAGTTAATTTCTAAGCATTCGTGCAAAACAGAAACCTTTGATTAGTTATATATACTTGGTACATACCTCTACTCATGTCAGATGCTTTTTCTGATGCAAACCACAGAAAATGCCCACAGAATTGCTTGAAAAACGATTTTAATATTCTACTGTAGCTGTTTGATTTTTTCTTTGATCCTTTGCATTTGCAGATTAGCTACTTTGGTATGTGCAATAGCCTCTCTTATTGGATAAACAGTTATAACACAATTATTTATTTTTGTATTCTGCAAGCAAGGCCGTGCTTAAACGAATGCCTTTTTTGGCATTGATTTCTAGTGTCTCTCGGTGCGATGATTCAAAAGCCATTGAGATACTGATAGATTCCGTACTCGATCAGGAATCTTCGGCCACTAGAGGGAGACAACACACAGCAGTTAATCCAATCCAACATCAGTCTCAAAATTACCGTATCTATTCTATACGAAACACGTATTCACGGACACCTGTAAGTCTATTATTAATTAATAGTGTAAACATAGCACAGCTAATGTAATTGGAAATTTCCTCTTATAATTTACCTACATTTCTGCAGTCACTGCTGTAACAAAACCTCCACAAACTGTCTATAGCTTCACCTTTCTGCCAAATGAACTGTTATCAGTGTTGTCAGAAGTGAAAATCTGCGTCCACGTACTGTATATAATGTTAACGCAATCATTTATATAACTATCATAACGGCAGGTGCAATTCCATTACAGTTTACTTGCACTTATACTTCTGTTTGAACCATTGGTGGCTAATCATAAGTGTTCTGTTTTAGATCAGATAGGTATTTTTAATATAAATATTATTTATAAATGTAACTGTTGTGTATAGAAAGAGTTCATTATATTAATATGGTAGATACTTTGCGTACTGTATGTGGTTGCATGCCATGGCCACCTGGTTAACATATAATAAGCAATAGACTCGTTTTGCAGGAACTCTAATTTGCATTATCTCGAATTGGGTTAAGTAAGATTTGCATGTGTTCTAGTCTTGTAAACTTGATTTGAATATACAGTATTTTAATGGTGTAGTCAGTGGGTAAATTGAAAACTGTGTACTGTCTAGGGATGAACCCGTAGTTAGTATGCAGCTGTGTACTAAACTAGTGTGCAATTTAAGTGCCAGCTGGAATGAGTTTGGCATCCCATTTTAGTTCCCGGAATACTGAAGCACAGGATTAATATAATCTAGCCCTCCTGATAAACTAAATATTAAATACCGTAAAACGTAGAAGAAATGTGAAAACTCTCAAGATGTATGGATAGGTTATATGTAAGTAAATAATCCATAATCACTCATCTATATATTTTACATGGGGGGGTGAGTGTATGAAATCCAATACAGATGACAGTAAGAAAAAAAGAGCAGTAATTTTTTTAATGTTGTGACAAATGTCATATACTATATTCTAAATAAGATTTAACTAGTGCATTGTACAATTGTAACATAACATTATTTGAATATAGTTCTACACCTTTAGGTATATATTAACATTATTTTGCCCTTTTATTGCTTCTCCATATTGTCTAGAAAATGTAAATTATGTATCAACATAAAAACCTACCATAAATCTTTTTAACTAGTAGCTTCTTCAAGATCAATGTTCTGTATATTCCATTATGTAATGTATTTGTAGCCTTTTGCTTCCTGCTGTGATTCTTTGTCTAAATTAAAATTCATCTGCCATATATTTTCCCAGTGTAGAATTCTTTCTAAATCTTTTTTTTTGTATTGCCATCGTCTTTGGTAATCTTCCCAATATACAGTTATATTATTTTGAAGCTTGACTAGTACACTTATTATACCAGTCTAAATTACTGATATACTGTAAATAAGGAAGTGCACTGGTACTTATGTATCCATTCATCCATTTTTCTAAAAGCTTCCTCCAATTCAGGGAGGTAGGAATGCCGAATCCTATCCAGGCGAGCAACAGGTGCAAGACAGGATACACCCTAGATGGGATGCCAGTCCATTGCAAGTCACACACAGACACAAATACACCAGGGTCAATTTTCCCAGCAGCCAATTAACCTAACTTGGTGCACAGTTGTCTCACAAACCTGTGATACTGATTATCGTGTAAAGGAAAAAAATGCATTTGTCTTTTATTTTCAGTGATTCAAAAGGACATAAACTAATGCACTAGGAAACAAAGTAATTATTTGTAATGTAACTGATGCTTTTTTTAACCTTAGTGAGATGTGGTCATATATTCTGTTTTAGGAAAAAGTCAAAGTTTATTCCATACTGAAAAGCGACACAACATTTCGGCTGGGT